ATATATATATATATATGGAATATAGCTAGTTCTCAGTTTACAATCAAAATAGACCTCCAAATTTTTGTTACTAAGCAAGACATTTGTTAAGTGAATTTTGTCCCATTTTATGTCCTTTTCTGCCACGGTTGTTAAGTGAATCACTATAGTTGTTAAATTAGTGACACAGTTGTTAAGTGAATCTGGCTTCCCCATTTACTCTGTTTGTCAGAAAGTCACAAAAGGGCATCACATGACCCCAGGCGCCTGCAACGGTCATAAATATGAATCCATTGCCACGGGTCTGAATTTTGATCACATGACCATGGAGATGCTGCAAGAATTGTTACTGTGAAAAACGGCCATAAGTTATTATTTCCAGTGACTTGAACAAGGTGTTGTAACTCAAGGACTACCTGTACCACTGATCAAACAGTTAAGCCTGTTGTATGGTATTATTTTGTATTTCACACAAGTAAATGAATAGTGAAGATGAGAATTGTATCCAAGCTGACCTTCTTAATAACTAGAAATTTTTCTCATATTTTTTAACTTCTTGTATCTGATGGCGATTTACTGATAGGATTCAGTGTTCGAGAATCAGTTTTTACTTCTCTCACCAATAGAGACTAAATGTTATACTACTTTTCTAACCTGTCTAGCTGATATGGTGTACCTCAGGGGTACACAGAATAGAAACCTGCCCTTTCTCCAAAGTGCTGAATGCAATTGCTGGAACCCTTTGAAAAATTGTTACTATAATTGTGTTGTTTGTAGTCAATTTAAATACAACTGGAGCCCATTAATGATGAGCCACAGTGACGCAGTGGTAAAAGTGCAGTATTGCAGGCTACTTTTGTTGACTGCTGACTGTCTGCAATTCAGCAGTTGGAATCTCACTGGCTCAAGGTTGACTCAGCCTTCTATTCCTTCCGAGGTGGGTAAAATGAAGACCCAGATTGTTGGGGGCAAGAAGCTGATTCTGTAAACCGCTTGGAGAGGGCTGTGCTAGTGCTATTAAACCACGCTTAGCTTTTGCCTAGACCCCAGTCACTTCTTTATTTTTTTGCATTTTTCAGATTACGATCCCAGAACACCTGACAAAGGCCAAGAAAGCTCCGAGCCTCCAAGTAAGTTGGATAGGAATGCTATAAAGTATTAGCCCATCATTAGTTCCCCAACTTCCCCTAACCCACCCATCCCACATATGTATCTGTGTTTATGTTTGTGCACACAGAGAGAAATGGAAGCTTAAGACTCAGTTTATGCATCTTTGCTTAGAATGAATCTCAGCTTCTGTTCGAATTCAGAGGTTTGGGATCAAGCAAGTTGCAAAGTAGTCTAAATAAATACATGTGCTTGGTTAATCTTCTGACAGCCTGTAATGTTAGAATATCATGCCTGCTTTTCTGCTTTGATACCTCGTGCAGTGTATGCAAAGTTAATACAACAAGAGGTGAAGAATCTATAATTCTGTGATGAATCAGAAGTACCCCTTCCAAAAAAAATCACAATTAAATGTATATAAAGTAAAAAAAGTAATAGTCCTTGAATTATGACCACAATTGAGCCCAGAATTGAGCTAGAAATTTGTTAAATAAGTTTTGTCCCATTTTACTACTTTTCTTGCCACATTTGTTAAGTGAATCAGAGAGGTTGTTAATTAATCACATGGTTGTTAAGGGAATCAGATTTCCCTATTGACATCGCTTGTCAGAAAGTCACAAAAGGGGATCACATGACCCCCAGGACACTGCAACCATCATAAATATGAACCAGTTGTCAAGCATCCAAATGTAAATCACGTGACCATGAGGATGCTACAATGGCCATAAGTGCTGTTGTAACTTTGAATGGTCACTAAATAAACCATTGTAAGTTGAGGAGTACCTGTATCCTTATCGTACATACTCCATTAAGGGCACTTCTCAATACTCTGAATTCTTAGCATTTGGTTTGCAAATTGGGGAACTTTTTGAGTGAATATTCATACACCTGGAGAGCACCTAGTCCAGGGCTGTCAAACTTCCAGCCCATGGGTTGGATGTGTCACGCACTAGCCACTCCCATGCCCAGTTTAGCGGAGGGAGGGAAAGTCCCGATATGTCACATGATGCCTCCATGACAACATGAGTTTGACACCCCAGACCTAGACTGTCTTTTAAAGAGCAAAGATACCAGGGCATCATTTCAAAAACATCAGTAATTACTTGGTTACAACTTTTTTGTATTTCATATTTTCATATTTTTCTGCAAAAAAAGTGTCTGCATGATCATTATGCTTCCAGCAAACACAAGTATGTGAAGAAACCTTTTATTTGGTACCCAACTGCATAGAGAAATCAGGATTTTGTTCTAGATGTGTGAATACCCTGTTTGTCTTTCACTATTATCTTTCTACATTTATTTTAAATCTGTACAGAACAACGATCTTTTTGCATGTATTTTCATATGTAGTTGAAAAGGAAATTAATTTTCCAGCTTGATAAATAAATCTAAAGATAAAATCATTTACGTTAAATAGGATTTGAAGAGAGGCCTTTAATTACAAAATTAAATTGCAACTCATTCTGAACTCCCAGTTATTCACCTTTATTCCTGTTTATTTCTCTCCCTTTCTGTTATCCTTTTTCTTCCATTTCTTCTAATGTTTTAGGTAGTAAAAAGTACTAAATGCAAAATTGTCCAAAGTGAAAAGAAAGATTACCTTTCTTTTTATATCAGCTTTCCATATCAACTAAGTTAGTTGAGTTTCTGAATGAAAGACGGGATATAAATGTAATAAACACTTCCCATTTATGTATGATTTATATCCATGGTTATTTCCTTATGTTCTACATGTATTTATACTCCAACCCTAAAAGATTTCTAGTATGATACTATCCAAAGCCCTGTAAGGCAAAGCTATGCCAGACTTAATGTAACAGAAAAACTCCAGTCCGTGTGATTAAATGTCATGAATAGTAAAACTCCCTGGGAAGGCTGCTTTGAAGTAAAAGGGCAACATTCCTTTCATTTCTGACCAGTTTTTAGTGTCAAGAGGGCAGGATTAGAAAAAAAAACCTCTCTACACATAAAGCTGCATTGTCTACTATTCAACGTTTCCTGGAATGGTTTTTCCACTTGATTGTTCTGTTTTCTTTAATACATTGAACAGGGTTCTTAGGATAGCTTGTGTATGCACTTTTGAAGTTAGAGTATAAAAACAAGGAAAAAAGTCTGTACTGGGAATTATTCTATGTTGTTTATTCTAGTAAATTAACTCTAGCAAAATCAGGTATTTGAATTTTTCTAATGGTGATAATGTGCTGAGTTCATTAGAAAAATAATGTATTGGAACAAATTCTTTGTAGGAACTTAATATTTAAAAAATCAGAACATTTAAGTGTGGAATTAGATGAACCTGTTGCCCAGTGTTAATACCTTATCTGGTTTATGGCACAATATGTTTTTATTTTATTGGTTTTATTTGTAATCAATCATTTTATTTTAGTTTTTACCTCGATTAGAGGTGTTTAGTCCTTGAGAGTTCCCAGAACAATGGGCATTCACATACATTAAAATATAAAGTAAATAAATAGTCATAAAATGTGGGACTTGTCTAGAAGCAAATCTGAATTTGTGAAAAAGGATTCCCAATAGAGGATATATACGTGTTGGGCACATGAATCAAACAAACAGCTGCTAACCCAAATATATCAGTATGGTAGCCCAGTATATAAAACTAACAATGCCAAATTATCATACAAGTATATTACTTTGAAGAAAGTTTGGTAAATACTACATTGGAAAAGTAATAACTGATGAAGAAAAAATCACCTTCTGTTTCTGGAGATTACATGTTTGTCACTGCCTTCTTTTAAGATATTTTTTTAATAACTCTATTTAGTCACTAGCTCTAAGATATGGTGGTCTCTTATTCAAGCATCAATCGGAACTCAGCCTCATAGGGGTTGTTGTTGTTTTTAGACTGGGGAAGATCAGCTAGATATTGCCACCTTCTTGGTGCATCTTTAGAGAAAGGTCAGTATATGAGAAATAACTGGAGAATTTCCTAAAGAACAAGGGGCAATTAGTAAAGTCATAAAGATCGGTCTATCAAAATAAGATTGAAAAGAAAGTGTAGAGGGCTTGAATGTTCTACTGCCAGTTTGTAACTTAGATGTAATTTGGTCTTAAATAAAGCCCCCATATCAAAAAATTAAAAAGTTGACATTCTTAACACTGGTTTTTATAAAGAAAATTAGGATCCATGAAATTAGATAATTCACTTAATGTTCTATGCCAGATGAATTACTGGCCTAGTGAAAATGCTGATGTAGAGGGATAATTCTAGCTAATAATGACATCACATGGAGTGCAAAGAAAGCTGGATGGACAACGTTACATGAGATAAAATATGACTAAAATAAAGCAAATACCAATTTTGAACATCACGTAGACTGTCAGAATTTGAAATGGCATTGGCATACGGACAAGAGATTAGTATTATTCAAGAAAAATTCATTTTAGCTCTGGAATTCATTTTATAGGAATTAGAAAGTATGTGAAAATTGGAAATAGTATATTACTTAAATCCAAGCCTAATCAAGACCCTGATAATCACATGTACTGTAAGTTGCAATGATAGCACATTATCATTGTTTTGTCCAATACACCAAATTGTACTGCCTTATCAATATAGCAACATATGAAAGGCTAATCATAATGTAAGGCAATTAACCTCAATGGAAGATACTGCCAGGTAGGGGATTGCAGCCAAAGATTGCCATCTGATGTGTAAAAGTGTGTAAAAAGTGAGCTCCTTACATGAAAAGTGCTCAGCTGACAAGAGCAGCTGTAATTACAGTCAGGCAATAAAAATAAATCCATACCCAGAGAGCATGTAGGTTGTCCTTCATCAAAATGCCATACCTTATTGGTGTTTACTTTGAAGGAAATCTTTCATTTGCTGGCAATGTTTTTTTCTTTTTGAACGTGTAGGGGATCTGTCTTGACGTTATGAATCTTGAAACAAGTTCTCAGGATATTAACATTCTATTCATTGTAATTTTGAAATCACTTATATATAGGATGACTTAATGAATGATGAAGTCTAGACATGCATGCTGAGAAAAGGACGTTTTCCCCCAGATTTTGGATTTTTCCTTGCATTTTTGCTCTTTCACTGGGATAAATATTCAATGGGTAGTTTTGTAAATGTGGTTAACATGGTAAAAAACAGAGATTGGTAGATATAATTCCCTCTCTGCAGAATATGAGTATATATTTGGGTCACCTGTGTTTAGATGCTTGGATGATGAAACGGAACCCCTCACATTCAGAAAAATATTTAATATATTGTGAATGTGCATCTCTTTTACTGTGAATGTAATGAAGCTATTTTAGATATTGTAGCAGTTAGCCACATAAGCTCAGTGTTTTCTTTTTTAAATAGCATGTAAAACACTTATGATTAAATCATCAAATTTTGCAATCATTTTCCATCAAAATAAAGTAGCTTACTGTTGAAACTGTAACTCTAGCTCAAATAATTGTCTATTGGAATAATGAAATGGATGCTTTTGGCTTTGTTCTTAAGAGACACTTTATGCATATGTTTTTGGCTTTGTTCATAAGAGACGCTTTATGGGATCACATGACTACTATAATAATTGCCAGGGGGAAATGACAACTCATCTACTGAAAACATCAACATTGAAGCCAGTAATAATGTTGTAAATGATTTCTACTTTGATTCTTTACCATCGGCGCCTTATCAATTGGAAGCATAAGAATGTAATTGTTTAGCTGAAGGATGGGCAGTGTGGTCTATTAATTTAAATTTAAATTAATCAATTTGGTAATCTGGTAGGGAAGTCATGTTCAAATTAAATCAACATTTTCACTCAATAATCTTATTTAGTATCTTAGAATTTAGAATGTTCAGATTTATTTTAAGGGATGGCATAATAAAATTGTAATTCCTGCACTAAGGTAGTAAATATGTTTATAATTTTCGAGATGGACCATGGCTGTAAGTTTCTACAAGATGTAAATTATTTTAACCCAAACTCCATCCTTTTCATGCATGTGACATCATAACATATGTATAAAAGGAGAAGGCTTTGCATTGTACTGCTACAACACAGCTTTCACCATTTTGCAAGACAGCATCAGATAAATCTCAATCACTCTCTGAAAGCTTGTCTCTGCATTATCAGCCAAAATCTGCTGACAGAGTATTGAGGCTTAATAGGATGAAAGACAATACTATAGAATGTGTGTCTATCAGTTGAAAATGATTGCTTGTTCCTTCCTTAAATTCTTAGCAGACCTATCCTGCCTCATATAACAAATCTTATAGTAGTTTGAAGTTCAGATAAAGGAGCTTCTTTTTTGTTAACAACACATTTCCTATTTGGTCTTCAGAGTTAAAGGAATTTGATTTGCTCTCAATGCTGATTTTCACTTTTTTGGAGATTTCTTGGTTAGCATTCTGTTGACTTGCACAATTATAAAATATTTTCCAATCTATAATTGTAATAAAATTATAAAAATAAAATTTCCCATATTCTATTTTTAAAGTAAATATATTCAATGTAAAAATCCAAAATTACTTTTGGAAAAACAAAGAATGATTTACTTCTTGCTTCTTATTTTTTGTTTATCCGATGTGTTTCCTGATTTGAATGCTTATCTTGAAAAAGATGGGGGGGAAGTTAGGATTAAAGGAACTGATCATTTGAAAAGAAAAGTATCCTAAATTATAGGATGCATAGTCTGTTTTCTTTTCTCTAGTTATTTCAGATTCAACATTCCTAAATGCTGATAACTTTTTTGCCTTTGCTTTTTATAGGTTTTTCTTCTGAAACAGTAACAGTAGCTGATGTCCCTGAATGTGAACCAGTTGAAGAATCTCCATTGCCCCCACCGTCCCACTCATTTTCTACAGTTTTTGATGAAGACAAGCCAATTGCTAGCAGTGGAACTTACAACCTAGACTTTGATAGCATTGAAGTTGTAGATTCCTTACAAGCTGTGGATCCAATCTCCCTGGACACAAAGAGTCGGGATTCTAAGTCACATGTTAGAAGAAAATCCACAGATTCTGTTCCAGTTTCTCGATCTACACTATCTCGTTCCCTTAGCTTGCAAGCTGGAGAATTTGATGGAGCCTCTTTTCCTGGGAGTAACGAGACAGCAGGTTCTGCAACAGATACTTTTAGTACTGGTTCAAGCAGTGCTTCTAGTACTCTTAAGCGCACAAAAAAACCTAGGCCAGCTTCCTTAAAGAAAAAGCAAGTAGCAAAAAAGTCCTTAGATGTTTCTCCAGTAGAAGAACCAGGAATATTAGACTTCAAGCAAGATTCTTCTGCCTTAAGTGATGAAAAAGTTTCCAAAGAAACTTTGGAGCCCACTGAACCCAACTGTACCAACCAACAGCACCAAAGCACTGTCAATAAAGACGAGGCCACTCCTGAACTAGAGACATTGAGTCCATTTGACAACAACTCAGAAGAAATTCCTGTATCAGGAGATAGCAAAGTACAAAACTCTCCGCTTGCCAACAAGAAAACTGTATCTCTTACCACAACACCAGAAGCTGTGGAGGTGACACCATCAGACACTGGGGGACAAGAAGATCCCTCAGTGAAAGGCTTAGCAGTCAGGTTGGAATTTGATTACTCTGAGGAAAAAGGCAGTGGTGAGGAAAAGACAGAGAGTCCTCTTCTGCCCAAAAAAGTGGGCAAAAAACCTGGGGCCAAAATGCCCCTCAGAAGGCCAAAGACTAAAAAAATTGGAGAGAAACTTGACAATACTCCCACAAGCCCAACCAAGACTCCTTCTGAACCCAGTGAGATTCCTGCCTCCAAGGGCTCATATACTTTTGATATTGACAAATGGGATGACCCCAACTTCAATCCTTTCTCTTCTACTTGCAAAATGCAAGACTCTCCAAAACTTCCTCAGCAAACCACCACAACGTACAATTTTGATCCAGAAATGTCTGAGGATTCTCTCGATCCATTCAAGTCTTCCCCCAAAGTTGCCAATTCTCCCACACAACCTCCAGCATCCTTTGAGATTTCAGCTAATGTCAGCGAAATTAATGGATCGGAAGGAGATGGCCTAAATAAACCTGCAAAAAAGAAGAAGACGCCACTCAAGACGTAAGTCAACATGTAGAAAAGCGTGTGTGTAGTACTCTAAAAAAATTCTCTGACAAATCTTTGCAAGCTCCCTTAAATTTCTGTATTGGCGATATGTTTATTGTATATGTTTGCTGTAGTACATCTTACCCAACTGAATTGTAATGCCAGAATAATCACATTACTGCAGATGGAATTAAATTATTTCCCTTTTGGTTCTAAGGTATACTAGAACTTTAAACCTTTGTTTAATTCTGAACATTTAGAAAATAAGCTTTAATTTTTTTTAATAATTTTTTTTTATTTTGACAACAAGACAACATAAACATACCACAAAAAACATAAAAATATCATCCTTGTTAGAGTTTGGGGACAAACCCCCAAGCAGAGTTTGCAGCAGCAGTCAAGCCAGGCAGCCAAATGAGAGAGGCTGGGCCCAAGAGTATACACACACTGGAGACAAAAACTGTTTGTAGTTTTAAATAGTTGTTTAATCCATTCAGAGTATAAGCATTGTCAATCAGTCCATATGTCATTCACAAGTATATCCAGTCAGTAACTTAGTCCATTATACTAGTCAGTACTATGTCCTTATCTGCTTGTAAATCTTCTCCTCCCGATACCTTTCTCTCGAAGACAACGCTGAGTATTCACAGGATATCAGCTCACCAAGGGAATAGTCCTTTTGTTCAGCAGAAACGGTATCCAGCACAGTAGCCAACAAACAGTATCAAGCAGACGTCTCAAAACAGGAGTAAGCAGCAGGCAGGCAGAGAGGCAGAGAGACCAGCGAGACCAGGGCTGTTACGTTTCTCTCACTGCCTTTTATTGCCGCTTGCAACCGCACCCTTAATTATCTAATTACATTGCAGTTTGGTGCTTAAAGCTACAAACACTTAAACCTAGGTTTATATATTTATTCACCCAAACTTAGTTGGTGTATCAATATACCCAACATTCTCCCCTTTTGGGTGATATAAATATATAATACCCTTACAATCTAAACCCATACTTTTCACAACTCTCTTGGTGCTTAATGGCACCTTGGGCTTAGTAAAATTATCAGCTATATTGTCCTCCGACATGGAGTACTCCAGCTGTATCATTTTACTCTTTACAGATTGTCTAACGTTTAGGTACCTTAAATCCGTATGCTTGCTCCTAGTTTTTACAGCAATATTTGTGGCCATTTGAATTGCTGCCTGATTATCTTCATGTACAATTATAGGATAACTTACAGTTATACCCATATCATTCATCATTTGTTTATACATGATTAACTCAGTACATAATAGCGATAAACAGGAGAATTCTGCCTCCATAGTAGACAAACTTATATGCTGTTGTCTAATTGACTTCCAACCAATTAATGTCTTACCCAGCATTATGGCTGTTCCTGAAGTCGACTTTCTTGTGTCTCTTTCTGATGCAAAGCTAGCATCTGCATAAGCACTCAGTATGAGATCACCTTTTGGTTCTAGATACAGTGCATGGTGTAATGTTCCTTTAAGATATCTTAAGATTCTCTTCAATGCATTCCAATGACATTGAAGTGGATCATTATTATGTCGTGCCAGTTGATTAATACTATAAGCTATATCTGGCCTTGACCAATTGCTAATGTATGATAAGCTACCAATCAAAGATTGATATAATACCTTATCAAACTTGGGACTTTGAGCATCCATTTTGCAAATATCCTGACTCATTGGAGTCTTTGCAGGCTTACAAAGTTCCATCTTATAATCTATTAGCAATTTAGATATCTTATCTTCCTGAGATATCATAAAACCTTTCTGTGTTTTCAGTATATTCAAACCTAGATATCTCTTTATCTCCCCTAATTGCTTGATTTTTATTTTCTTGGCTAATGATGCTATTATTTTATTAGCTTCATCATTAGTCTCAGTAATCAAAGCAATATCATCAGTAAACAATAATAATAATGATATTTTCCCATTTGTCTCCCTTTTAAACAGACATGGATCGGCTAAACCAGCTTTAAACCCTATATTGTTTAGTTCCTTTACAATATACTGGTTCCATTCATAGCCAGATTGTTTAAGACCATAGAGGCTCTTCTTTAACAACCAACAATCATTATTATTTTCACCTTTAAATCCAATAGGCTTTTTCATATATACAGTATGTCTTAGTGGGGCGTGCAAGTAAGCAGTTTCCACATCTAGATGGTTAACTATATATTTCTTGCTTGCTGCCCACACTAAGGCTGCCCTTAATGTTGCTGCTTTAAGACTAGGTGCAAATACCTCATCATAGTCATTGGCACTTTGTCTAAAACCTTGGGCTACTAATCTTGCCTTATGGATTATATTTCCATCCTTATCAGTTTTTATCTTAAAAATCCATTTGCAGCCAATGGGTTTTATATCACCAGGTAATCTCACATTTTCATAAACTTTCATATCCTTCAAGGATTTCAATTCCTTATTCATTGCTGCATACCAACTTTCCTTATCTTTAGTAGGATACTTTTTTATCTCATCCACAGTATATGGAACTCTATTTTCCTGGTACACTGTATTAGCCTGGTATCTATCAGGCGGTCTAGATATTCGTGTAGTTCTTCTGAGAATTACAGGGCTTGTATGAGGACTTTTTTGAATTACTACCTGTTCATGTTCCTCAGCTTGCTCAGCTATTTCTTCCTTTACGGGCTCTATCTCTTCCTGTACTTCTCTCTTTACTTTATTTTTAAAGTTACAGGGATAATTAATGGGATTTCTATAGGATTCAATAATTACTTCTTTATTGTAATCCTGTTCTAACTTATCCCATCCTACGTGCTCTAGAAATTGGGCATTGGCACTACATAACACCTTAGATGTGCCTTTCTCCCAAAATCTATATGCCCTATGGTTAGCTTGGTAACCAACGAAGAATAATTGTTTAGCTCTGTGTTGCCCTTTACGCCTGAGTTGTGTAGGGATATGCACCCATGCTGGTGCACCAAATGTGTGCAGGTAACTCAGATCAGGCTTCCTGCCATGCCACATGGTGAATGGTATTTCACCAGTAGTTGAGTTAACAACGTTGTTCAATATGTTATTAGCACACATTGTGGCCTCCCCCCACAAAGAATCAGGTAATCCAGAATCAGTTAACATTGTTCTAACCATTGCCTGTAGTGTTTGGCCTCTTCTCTCAATAAATGCGTTGTGTTGTGGTCTGTATGGTGCAGATTTCTTGTGCTCTATTCCAGCTACTTTTCATCTATTCTGGAATTTGCTGTTAACAAATTCCGTACCATTATCTGTCACCAGGGTTATCAGTTGCCGTTTAGTCTTTCTTTCTGCAAATTTTAACCAGTTGAAGAAATGTTGATATGTTTCAGTTTTGCTTTTCATTAGGTAGCAAAACCCATATCTAGAGTAATGGTCCATAATGCTCAGTATATATCGAGCACCCCCCATACTGGGTTTCTTTGGACCTATAATGTCTGCAAATACTACTTCTAAAGGTTCTTTAGTTTTGAAACCATTTAGCCTATTTGCAGGCAATATTTTACTCTTATCTTCACAGCAGACATTACAACGCAAATATTTATCACAAGGTTTTAACCTTATTCCATCAGATAACTCTACTGTACGTTTTAGCATTTTAAAGTTTACATGCCCCAAACGCCTATGCAATAAATGGATACATTCATTATGAGGCTTTATATTATTAAATACAGTCTGTGCCTCCCCTTTCGTACTATCATGTAAAACATACAATGCTCCATTTAAAGCTGCAGTTACCCTTTTGTTATCTTTTTCAGTTATGCACTTATTATTCTTAAATGTAATTACATAACCTAGTTTGTCTAATACTCTCACAGAAAGCAAGTTCATCTTTAACTGTGGTACATACAGCATTTTTATATCCTGGTTTAAGCATGGACAGTATGCAATACCTTCACCCTTGGCCTTGAGGTTCCAACCATTGGCAAGTGATATATGTTGAGAGCTTGTAGACATTTTTATAAATTTTGTCTTATCTCTCGTGATGCAGTGGGATGCACCACTGTCCACCACCCATAAATCATTCTTCACATCACAGTTGCTAAACGTGGCTAGTTCAAAGGATCTCTTTGGCTTTTTTACATTCTGGCTTTTTCCTTTTCTGCAGAATCTTGCCAAATGTCCTCTGCCTCCACAATTAAAACACTTTTTAATTGTGTATGCCGTCGAAGATAAATTCTCTTCTTCCGGGTGCTTTACTTTACTAAGTTGGTTTCTTTCAAGCTTTGAAGATAATTTCTCTTCTTCTCTCAGCTGGTCACGTTCAAACCTTCTTCTGGCTTCTTCTAATAGCCTGCCGGTAATCTCAGTTAATGATAAACTGTCTTTTGGCAATACCTCTAAAGCCGTCACATAATCATCATAGGTTCGATCCAATGAAGACAGTATGATGTATACTTGTTGCAACTCATTAAATATAAGCTCTTTTTCTTGTAATTCCTGAAAAATGCTTTTCATACAGTTTAAATGAGTTAACATGTCTCCATTCTTCTCAAGATGTGTTCTAAACAGCTTCCGTGTAAGATTGATATGAGCTTCTACACTGTCTCGAACATAAATCTTCTTGAGGTTCTCCCAGCAGTTTGCAGCATTTTCCTCTCCACGGATATGGATGAGTTGCTGGTCAGAGAGAGTCAGTCCTATGATGCATAAAGCCTGCTCATTCTTTCGTTTATAGTCTTGTATCAGTTTATCATCCTCTTCAACATTAGGATCTAAGTTAGATACATCTGGTGGGTTTGTAATTATGTCCCACAAACCTTCTCTTCGTAGAAGTAAACTACATTTCATTGACCATGAAACATAGTTTGTTCCATCTAGTCTGGATATCATGGACAGATTTGGCAAATTTACTTGTGCCATTGCTCTTCAGATATATAACTATTTAAAATAACAGTTTGTTTTTACAGTAATGTGCAACTCACACCAACTCTCACTGCTATATCCTGGTTAGTCAGACTGTGCGCACTGGGCCCATAACCAATGTTAGAGTTTAGG